CCCCCCCCTCCCCTCTCCCTCCCTCCCCCTCTCCTCTCCTCTCCTCTTTCCTACCTCCCCTACTCCCTACCTGTGGTTAAGTCATGGGCCACTGTAAAACTCCACTAAAAGCTGGGTCTGGCCCAATGATCCCTACATGTGAGGGCAGCTTACATCACCCTAAAGAGGAAAACCTGACTCTTACGAATGTGACCTTCCCAAAGGAAATTTTTGTTTCTGCCTGTGTGCATAACCCATATGTTTTGTTGTCAGGAAATGTTCATGGTACTTATAATATATCCTAGTCCATGGCTCATATTACCTGTAATGACAATGTGTTCATCAGGCAAACGGGGAATCCAATCCAAATATCACCTTCTTAATACTAAAAGTCTTAGACAAAATACAACCAATGAAAGATCCTAGTATTGGGGGAAACAAGCTTTGCCAAAACTAGCTAGGCTTACTCTGCTTTAAAAACAGAAAGGGGGAGCTCCGCCTGCCTGGCCTGCTATAGACAGGTCAGGAGAGGACCTGGGGGAGGGCAGTGGCTACAGACCCGAAGAGCGCTCTCACCAGAACCTGCAACTGGTCCCTTGATCATGGACTCAACAGCTTCCAAAACCTCGAGAAAATAAAAGTCTGTTGTTTAAGCTACCAGGTCTGTGGCATTTTGTTATGGGAGCTTAAGCAGACTGATTCAGGAATAAAAGAAGAGAATTCAAGGCGTCCCAGGTGGTGCAGGGGTTAAAGTCTCAGTGCCATCAAGCTGTGTCAGCCACAGCTGCATGAGTTCAAATCCCAGCCAGGGAGCTGACCCGCTTCACCAGTTCGAATCCCAGCCAGGGAGCCGACGCACATGGCGCCGCAGACCTCTCCTGTCTCACCTGCGGCGCACTTTGTCGATCTACCTGTTCTGCTCCCCACTCTGTCTCTGGTGAATCCTCTCCCCTCCCCTGCCCCTCTGGCCTGTACCCCAGTTGTACACCCAGAAAGACAACCCAGAAATAAACCCACAGAGGTGGCATCATTAAACAGTACAGTGGCAGATTGAATAAATGTTCTGCAAACTTTTAAGAGAGTATCGCGTTAAAATTTAAATTTTACAACAGAAGACGTCATAAACATACATTTTAAAACAAGCCAATAGAAAGATGGCACAAGGCACGCAAAGAGACAGGATCCCAAATGCCTAAAACATGATTTTTGTGTTGCTTTTTATTTTTTTAAATGCTTCATTAGTAACTGTGGCCCGAAAATTAAAACAATGAAGCACCGTCTTGACACATCAGATTGGCAAAAATAAATAAAGCAGGGTGGTGGCAGTGACATGGGGGATGAGCATGGCCATGCATTTCTGGCTTGGGGGGCGCTGGGGGTGCTGCACCCGGGAGCGGCGTGGCCAGAAGGCGCAGAGAAGGCTGGTTTAGTGCAGCAGCGCTGCTAATGATAATTCTCTCAGGGGAGAATTAGCTGAACTGCGTCCAGTCTGCTTTATTCATACAGTAGAGTGCATGGGCTAAAACCAACGAAGTCAGGCTCTAGGCCTCCATAAGACTCAAAACCGTTAAGACGTTTTAAAAAGAAGTGTGAGAAAAGCTGCACTGTTCTGAATTTTTTTTTTTTTTTTTGGAAACACACAAAATAGTACAGACTCATGTCTGTGAGCCTATAACGTGCAGGAAAATGCTAACACACGTGGGGAAACCAGCCGTCACCTCCACGCACGGCCGCCTCGGGAGAGGGGTGGGAAAGAACTGGAGGATGTTAACTTGTGTCCCATCTCGGTGGCTCACCCATGGTGGGGTGGGTGTGGGGAAGGGGTGCCCTCATTTTCTGTATGTCTGAAATGTATTAGAACTCAACACATTCAACAGGAAAAGAAAAGACCTCAAAGAGGTCCGGGAAGGACGAGCAGAGAGAATGGCTTCCCAGAAACCCAAGGGAAGAGCGGGCAGCGTCCAGGGCTGCGGGGTGGGCTGCTGCCCTCAGGATGGGGGGCAGGTGCGCCTCCCCAGGAGTGACGGCCTACAGGAAAGGAGCACAGGCAGTTAGAGAGAGAAACGGTGCGTGTGGCCATGGTTTGGCCGATGTAAGAAGTCCGGCTGCACCGGGGAGTGGCCGTGCATGGTCCTTGAGAAGAATGCAGCGTGGAGTCCTGTGGCCGCCAGGGACTTGAGACCCTGTCAGTAGAGTAAGGGAACAAGTATGGGAAGAGCAAGATGGAGGCCTCTCTGGGTAGAAACAGGAGAGCTGATGCCACAGGAGGTGGTGCAGCCTTAACAAAGAAGCCGGGGTGACTGGGAGGTGATTTGAGAGAGGGTGGAGGGCAGGGGCTGGGGCTGAGGGCGGGTGGGCGGAGGGGAAGAGGCAGCTTCCAGAGAGGCCCAGAGGGGAATGGGGGGGGGAGGGCGAAACACAGGGTCCAGCAGAGCCTCTTCCCAGCAACACAGACCACCCCCAGGCCAGGGGGGAGCTGCCCTGAGAACAGAAAGAGCCCGCAGGTTGGTTGGCAGGAAGGACATCACTGGTTGGACATAGGGCACTCCTCCGTGAGGACTGGAGGAGGGGCACACCACTGCCGCCAAACCTGAGGTGTCCCAGACAGGTGGGCACAGAGGGCGCCAGCGAGGCCAGTTAAGTATCCAGGGCTTGGGGGTCTCAGCGCCCAGCTGAGTTATGTCCACAATACCCAGTTTGTATTATCTTTGTGTGTGTGTGTGTGTGTGTGTGAGAGTGTGAGTGAGAATGAGTGTGTGTAAATGCCTGAATGTGTATTGTGTGTGTGAGTGAGTGTGTGTGAGTGTGTCTGAGTGAGTGTGTGTGGATATGAGTGAGTGTGAGTACGTGTGAGTGTCTTGAGTATTGTGTGTGTGTATGGGTTAGTGTGTGTGTACGTGAGCACTGAATGTGTGGGCGTGTATATGGGTAAGAGTGTGTGTGTGAGTGTGTGTGTGTGGGTGAAAGTGTGTGTGTGTGCGTGTGTGAGAATGTGAGTGTGTGTGCGTGTGTGGGTGAAAGTGTATGTGTGTGTGTGTGAGTGTGTGGGTGGGTGGGTGTGTATGGGTGAGTGTGTGTGTGCATATGTGTGAGAGAGTGAGTGAGTATCCGTGTGCAGAAGTTGTAGGCTCACTCCCACTGGAGAAGGCTGTGCCTTGGGCGGGCATGGCCAGGGCCTCCATCCTCCTTGAGGCTGACTTGTCTCTCTGGGCTTTCAGGACATTCTCAACGACCTGTTCTCCTTCCTCTTCCTTGTGGGGGCCCTGGTCTTTGCAGTGAGAATCCGACAAACCATGCCACTGCACTACTTCATCGCCTTGGTGAGTTTTTTCATGCCAAGCTATTCACTGGCTCCAAAATTTACAAGTATTTCAGGAAAGGGCTTCTTTTCTTTTCACATCATCCTGGGATTCCAGCACAGTTGAAAAGTAAAAGTGGGGCTCCTGGTGGCCTAGGGGTTAAGTCTCAGCACTATTACCTCTATGGCCCCAGTTCCATCCCCAGCCAGGGAGGTGACCCACATAGGGCGCCAGACCTCCCCTGACCCGCCCGCTGCTCCCCTCAGCAGTGTACTTCTTCGATCTGCCTGTTCTGCTCCCCACTCTGTCTCTAGTGAAACCTCTCACTCCCCCGCCCCCATACACACACCTCTGTTGTATACAAATATACATAAATAAATCTGGCAGCTGTTTCCCACAGAGGGCGCATTTACACCAAGATGCTGTCCAGGGAGGCCGCCAGGTAGCAGCTCCCAGCACACGGGGAGGCTGCGGCATCTGGGGGGCTGGTAGAGTGAGGGGACACAGGGCTGCCCGGAACAGACCTACTGACAAATTAGAAACAGGGGAAAATAAATAAGCCCGCTTTCCAGGGACAAGAAAAGCTAACCCAGGGATCCTTGTGTTTTTCCAGATCCTTATTGGCCTGGCTGGAATTTTTGCTTTAATCGATATTTGTCTTCAGAGAAAACACTTCCAAGGCAAGAGGATGAAGAAGAACGTGCTGGTTCCTCCTCCGCCAAAGGAGAAAGCAGAGCCGGCGAAGCCAGACGCCGGCGCGGCAGCGAAACCAGAGGCGGGGAAGCCCGAGGCAGCCAAGGCCGGAGCCGCCAAGCCCGAGGCCGCCAAGCCCGCTGCGGTGGCCGCCCAAGGGGCCCCGAAGAAGGGCAAGAAATGACCGCAGGGCACGGCGTGGCCACCTGCCTTCCTCTGCTGTCTCCCTTCTTCCTAGAATGGTTTCCTTTTCCATCTGAATCTCCACCTCAGACTGGAAAAGAAATTTCTCTCTAAATGGAGTTAAAGCTTAAAGTTGACCTAAACACTGGTTTTCCTCATTTCACGAAAGCTGCTGAAGGTTTGGGCGCCAAAGGCGGGGCTGGACGCGGCCCAGTGAGGCGGGTGTTCCCAGGCGGCTGGGCACCGAGGCCTTGGGGGGCCCAAGGTGGGGGTGACCCAGCTGGCTGTCAACAGTGACCAGCCCCAGGGGCCCAGGAAAAGGAGGGACTGGAGAATGAAAAGGTGCATTTCATTCATCCAGATATTTTAATTTGGCCTTGTTTTGTTTCTTGGGGATTTTTTTACTTAAAAAAAAAGGGGGGTATCCCCTAGTGACTGTGAGAAAAATAAGGTGCTTGGCCTTGCATCGCTTGCTTAGGGGGTTGGCGGGGTGTCCAGAGCCAGTCAGGCTGGCATCTGGGCCAAGAGGAGGAACTTGGGGACCATCCCCACAGAAGTAGCCAAAGCAACTCCCCAGGCCCACAAGGGTGTGCCCCCCACTCCCACTTTCCAGGAGGACATGTGCATAAGCTCCAAGCTGGGCTCAGATAGGCCCCTCAGCGTGACTCCCACACTCAGGCGCCCTGCTCTGCCATCCTGACAGGAAGGTCGTCATCCTGAGAGGAAGCGCAGCCCCACACTGATGCACGAGGAGCTGGAAAGGGAGGGGTGTGTGCACACCCGGGGGTCGATGGGAGGAGAATGGGGGGGGGTCGATGGGAGATCCAAGCCCAGCCAAGGACAATGGGAGAGAGAGGTTGAAAGTAGAGCTGGAGGGAGGTTGCTACTTGTTGTTTGGGTGGTGAAGATGGGTGTGTGGGCATGGGATGGTGAAGCAGGGCCAGCAGGAACCTGGGGTCACAGCGTCTCTACCTTCAAGCCTACCTGCTACCTCTGTAGCCTGCACCGCACCCCTGCAGGCTGGGCAGGGTAAGGCAACCCTGAGTTAGATGGGGGAGTCACACCGAACATTCGCAAAAAAAAAAAGATCTGTTCTGAAAGAGCAGATCTGAGGATGTTCTTTAGGCAGAAGAAAATGATGCCACAAGGGAGCACAGATTTTCAAGGAGGAAAGATGAGCAGTAGTAAATATCTGGGTACCTAAAATATCTTTTTTTTTTTTTAAGATTTTATTTATTTGTACATACAGAACTGGGGTACAGGCCAGAGGCTCAGGGGCAATGAGAGGATTCACCAGAGACAGAGTGGGGAGCAGAACAGGCAGATCGACCAAGTACACTGCTGAGGGGAGCAGTGGGCGGGTCAGGAGAGGTCTGCCGCGCCATGTGGTCACCTCCGGGGCAGGCGGGGATCGAACTCATGCGGAAGCGGCTTTAGATTCTCAGTGCTGTGCTTTAACCCGCTGTGCCACCAGGGAGGGCCTATCTTACTTTCTTTAACATACATCTGAAAGCAAAGTCCTAGCATGAGCTGATGGGACTTGCAGTGTGGGAGATGTGACAGCCCAACAACAGAGGGAAGGACATGGCCTCTTAGGGGAGTCAATGTTAATGTTCTGTGGATGGAGAAACCGAGGAAGCAAAGTAAGAGCCAGGATCAGAACCAGGAGTTGATGCTCTTAGTGGCTATGCTCTGGAATGTCAACTTCTGTGTTCTAACATCATAGTTTAAAAAAAGAAACACCCCCTACCCACCCACCCCCTGTCCCATGGCACAATGGGTTAAAGCGCAGCACTCTGAAGCTGGCCTCAGCCACTGCACAAGTTCCATCCCCAGCCAGGGAGCTGACCCACCTGGCGCGGCAGACCTGTCCTATCCTGCCCGCTGCTCCCCTCAGCAGTGTATTTCAGTCGATCTGCCTGTTCTGCTCTTCACTCTGTCTCTGGTGAGTCCTCTCACATCTCTGACCTGTACCCCAGCTCTTGTATGCATAAATAAATCTTTAAAAAAAAAAA